ATCATGTATAGATGGAGCTTGCCATCCAGCAATTTTTTTCCTAGCCTGTGTACAGCTACAGCCGCCCGCTCCCCTAAAGAAAATCGTGGAGCGAGACGTCTGTGAATCGCGGTCGTTAATCACTTTCCCGTTTCCTCGGAATGTGGGGGAAAGCCTCCTCTCCTCGATTTTTTTCCTTCTCCTCTCCTTCCGATTTTTTTTTTATTGGTAGCGTGGTTCCTCTAGCAACAAATACCGTTTTAACCCCCCCTCCTTGATTTTGACTGCGAATTGTTCCAAGATGCATAGATTCGTCGAAACCCTACTTTGTCTTACGCTTGAGGCTCTATCTAGCCATCAAAGGATGCATATGCATGAGTTCATAACCACAGCCAAGGAAAACAGTAAACTTAATATGTGAAACATCTTAATTGTACATAACCAAATAATCCTTTATACACACACCAAGTCACAATTTTGGCACTAAAAGATCGTTTAACCTTTTTCTTGAAAAAGAAGACAGTCTTGGATTCTGGATTCCATGTCATGGATTCCACACTTTGTCAGCGGAACTTGGAATTCAGACTTCCAATCGTTAGAGGGATCCTAGATTGATTGAGTTGTATTCCTGATTCCAAAGCCCACGATTCCGGATTCCACAAGCAAAGATTTCGCTGATTTCCGATTCCAAAACGAACATTTTTCGGATTGGGAAATCCGGGTTACCTTACATGTGGCAACTAATTACATTACTCTGATTCCTACTGTTAACAGACTGAATCAGTTACGATGGAAAACGTAAAAGCAATATGGAATCGATACAAAATGGTCACCCAAGGAGATGTAAGAAAAAGCCCTTTGTAACCATTTACAATGGATTAATGTCTGTTTGTCAGTTTTTCTATCGTATTTTAGGACGGGGGTGATAAAAAAGATGATGATGATGATGATGATATTGATAAAATTGAAATTGATTTGACATGACTCGATACGTTTATAACCATTCTCCTGTACTTGCATAATTCCGTTTCTGTGCCAAGTGTCCTGCAACTGTGTCACTGAAAGCCAGGAACATTTGCAAGCTTATCTCGTTTTTCATAAAACCGAAAAAGGAATATATATGCAATCATAAGTCTAAAATATATGTGGATATAAAGCTAAGCGATGCTTTTGACGTTTTCCAAGAGCACGTACTATGGAATATACCCTGGCGGCGGAGCATGTACCTTAGATCCGCCATCACCGATGAACAGTCAGCCCGGATGGATCATGGTGGCAGCTGGACAATATGACTACCAGAAGTCCGTTGGGTGTGGCATGTGCATCGAAATCACAGCCAACGGAGAGCAAACGAACCCTGAAACTGGCGGGCCCACGCCTATGAAAGGCACCTACAAGGCTTATATTGTAGATCTATGTGGAGGCTGTAATCAAGGTTTGTTTATCTCCTGTATGAAGCAATATCCAAAGTAGCAATCATTACATACTTCGAAATTCTATTCTATAAGGGATTTCATTCATCCATTCGAACAGAATGAGGCGAGAGCGGGCTATCCTACATCAAATCCAAGAGAATTACCTTGACATTATGCTCAAATGCATGTCCAAAAACTGTGCTAAGTAAATTCCGTTTTGTTGTCTCCGGCTCTAGCATATACTATTTCAAGGGCATAAACTGGAAGGCGTAGGCTTCGGAACTACTTTAATTTTACTTCGTAGGGCACGATCTACTTATATCCCTATAAAAAAACTTGTGTCTTTTCTTCCAGCCGGTTTTGATTTATATATTAGCGGTTATGGCAAATACAAGACCTCTTTTAAAGCAGTTTCATGCCCCAGTGTACCTGGTCAAGAGGGGAATATTCAATTCCGTTTCTCTGGTAGCAATACTTGGGCCATTAAACTACAGGCTCGAAATTCCAAGTGAGTCACGTAATCAATAATTTTAATGTCGGGTAATGTTGTAAGGAGGGAGCCACACAAACGGTTGGCAGGGGCATAACCGGACTCTAAGATAAGTGGGGGACGGTCTCAAAAAATATTTTTTTCGTCCCTTTGGGCCTCAGTTTGGTCTAAAAATAAGGAGGGGGGTGCCGACCCCCCCTGGGCCCCTCCCCTGGATCCGCCAGTGTCATGTTCATATTATTTTCAAACAAGTCTTTTTGCATTGTTCATGGCCCTAATCAAGAGCCTATATGGGCTCCTGCCCTAATGTTTCCTTGCTCTAAAGGGTGGTGACGGTGGGCATGGAGATCGAGCACAACAGCAAATGGGTTTGTATGGAGAAGACAGGTGATAATTACCCGACATAGTAAATCGAACGTTCGAAAATCGAACTCAATCGAACTCAATCGAACTCAATCCGTGGATTGAGTTCGATTGAGTTCGGCAATCGAACGAAATCGAACACCACACTTTCAGTGAGTTTGATTTCCGAACAAATCGAATTCAATCGAACAAATCGAACAAATCGAACTCAATCGAACTCAATCCGTCTGATTGTGTTCGATTGAGTTCGGAAACCGAACTCAATCGAACACAATTAAATGGATTTCGTTCAATTGGCTCTGGTGAGCCTATACAAAGCAAGCCCAAAGCAAGCCCGTCAAAGCAAGTTTTTCTTGCACTTTTTTTACTATTTATTCAATAACACAAACCCCATTTATAAACTGTCCACGGCAGTTAAGAGAACAGAACAGAAAAAACCCTGAAAACTTCGCCATCCTTGACGTCAAAGCGGCATTCCTGGTAGCCTTTGACTATACATTTGAAGCTTACGATCCACAACGCATCTGAAGCCATTTCTGCGGAATTTCTTCGTTTACGAAAAACACGTGCGCTACACTCAGGGCTGAAGTAACTCGAGTTTCTAAGATCTGGTAATGGATTTTCAACGTCTGTTTTACATAAATCACGAGTTCGAAAATCAAACGTTCGATTGGGTTCGATTGATTTTTTTTCTTTTCGGTGAGTTCGATTTCGTTCGATTGCCGAACTCAATCGAACTCAATCCACCGATTCAGTTCGATTGAGTTCGATTGAGTTCGATTGAAATTTAGTTCGATTGGGTTCGATTTACTATGCCGGGTAATTACTATTTCATTAACGGAGTGGGAGAGATGCAGTTCCCAAAAAGATTCCGATTAACGAGCATCAGTGGGGAGCAATTAGTAAGCACAGTTCCTGGCATTAAGAACGATGAGAACATCCCAACAGACATTCAATACTCCGATTTCAATCCAAGTAAAAGATATTCCAACTGCTTTAACTAAATTTTGGCAAATACAGCCAACTCTCTTTCAACGGACTTCTCTATAAGACGGACTCCTCCGACACCTAGAATTCGTCCCTGCCTTTCTTTTCTTCACTCCCTTAGTTTGACTCTCTCTATATATGCAATATTTTGATCCCCATCTGGTTGTGGATATGAGTGGCTCATTTCACTCGCTAGAAAAGAACATTGGTGTTGCATTCTCTTACTAGTTTATATTGCTTAATTTCTTTGTATGGAATGTTTTAATTATTTAGAAAGCTGCCCGCTCATCTGATTACTTCTGATATCTATTTTCCTGCAATATTAATAGTGGAGGTATTTTTCATATTTTTTGTCATTGTCATTGTTGTTTGTTTGTTTGTTTGTTTTTTTTTTTGTTAATAACTTACTTGGCTTTTAATTGTTTGATGAATTTGAACTTGCTGTCGGAAACTGAATGACCCTGAATCGCCATATGTTCTCTCATTATCAGACAGTAATCCTGAAAACATCAAATGCTTTGGACAAGGAGAAAGCGCAGGACAATGTGAGTACCGTGCATCAATCATGTTATTAGAATTAATTAGATTAGGTTGTGGGTGCTTTGTTTTGCCATAACGTTTAAATTTATCAGCTTCAATCATTTTATTGCCATTTATTTACTCGCGAAAAATTGCCAATTTATTTTTGCCTACTTTTCATGTTTCACACGAATTGGTCCTAATACTGGTCCAGGTCCCACGGCGGGAACTATATATTTCCGAGCAAGAGACTATAAAGGGACGGAGAGTAAATCTAAACCCATTGCAATCCCTAGATAAAACAGTATTTTTAGATCTTCTCCAATATCCAGTGTTCCCAAGAAGACTGAGTGATAGTCAATCGCATGTCATCAATTCTATCGATGTTGACAGCTGAGCGACTTTCCATGCAATGCTGCACGCCTTTCGCGAATCAAACATTATGGACGAATGTGACTTCAAGAAAGTCGGTAGCAAGAAAACGCAGATCGAAGGCAGGCCTGTGAAAAGCCATTATAGGGAGCCTTAATAGCTTGTTCTATTCTATTCATTTTGTTTTACCCTTTGTGGTCTCTTGTTCCAAGCCATCATCAGCTGGCTTATTATACTGACAAATTGACAGCGCAGGGCCATCTACACACCCTTACAACGGCAATTCGAGCTCTCCTCCTCCACAACCTGCAGGGGGTAGGCTACTGCCATTCCTAATCAAATGATCCCTTTCAGCTCCTCTTCTTTGTTGCCCTAGATCAGTACGGTTTATGAAAAGAAAATTGCCTTGAGAATGTCCAGGAGTCGATTATGGTTAGTCGGCTAATGGAATGTCGTATTATCCTAAATGAAGAATCAAACGACCCAGAGTAAGCCCCCGTTTATGTGGATCGCGCTCCAGTAAGAGAAATGTTGACCCCTTTGGCCCGAGCCTACAGCGCTCGCGCATGCTGTGATATTAGGGACTTAAAGATCCAACGACGCGACGGTGACAAGAACGTCGCTTAAAAAGTGAATTTGCGTTCTTTCAGTCTTTATAGCGATTATTCCTACCCACTTACTTTGTCAATTGTAAACGAACCCTCCTGTAGCTGAATTTCAAGGGACCATAGCCAAGCCCAGAAAGAGAAATAAAATTTCGTCGTTGCTTGTGTACGTCCTCCATAAAACAAGAAATCAGGCATTTTCACGTCGTAGTCGTGCAAAAACGGGAAAGAAATGTACAAAATAGTGTGATGCACGTGCGAAGTTGTTGTTTTGCCTATTAAACCTATTGTTGTTTTTTTGACGTTCTCGTTGTCGTCCGCGTCGTTGGATCTTAAAGTCCCTATTCTTTGACGCGTTGACCTGGCTGTGAAAGCCAAAGTATTTATTTGGAGAAAAGTTGGCCCATCAGCCAGGACGGTGTCCCTAAAATAGAAAAAGAGTGACTCGGCTAAGCGAGTAACCCTTCTTGCCTTTTCTCGTATAAAAGGTTTGCCAAATTTTACAAGGAAACGTAAGAAACGTTGACCCGCCTAGGGTAGCTCGGGTAGGCGAGTGACAGTTAAGTTCTCTGTATAAACGGGGCATTAAAAGTTCCATGTAGTCTTTTGTGGCTTAATGATCACTAGACGAAGACATCATTTAATGTGAATTCTGCATCTTACATAAAATACACAACATTTTGACTGATCTTTTTCAGATGACAAGAACTTTTGCAATGGGAAAGCCACGGGGTTTTACGCTGATCCAAAGGACTGTGAAAGCTTCTACTAATGTGCAAGCGGGATAACATACTGGAAGCATTGTGCCAAGGGACTTCACTTTAACCCTAAAATCCAAAACTGTGATAATCCAGAAAATGCTAATTGCAACATTCAGATAGTGTGAGAAGGCAAGAAAACTAAGAAAGATTATGTATTAATTTATGGCTGACAAGCTATCACGAACAATTTTCGGCGGGGTAAGACTAATTTTTAGATGTGCCATTTTTCCAAATTTTGGCTGACAACGGAGAAATGAATAACGACTAAGTTTAACTCTCAAAAGAAACCAAGGGTCGAGGAAGCCTCCCCCCCCGGCCTCCATCGACTGTCATAGGCTATGGTGAATAGGAACTGATCACGAGATTCAATAAAAGAAAGCAAGCGCATCTTTTTGGGCATGATACGTGTTTTTGCAGTGCTAAAATTTTCTCAGGATTAAAGCTCTTGCTAAAGTTGACTCGTTTGGATGGGTGACCCTCTTTTCAGGGAAAACTTTTCTCCATACAAACTAGGCTTAAACCTTAGGCCAAGGCCAATTAACGTCGTACTTTTGTTTTTGATCATACTTCGAACTAATGCACCTATCAATGTAAACCCCGTGGGGAGGCGGGCAAGGGGTGGGGATTTGACAAATTTTGAAATTTTTTCATCAAATTCCCCAGGGTGGGAAAGGAAAGGTCAATCAAAAGTGTCAAAAAAGCCCCCACCCCAGGGGAAAAAATTTAAATAAACAATACTGTAATACTATATAAAACGAATAAAAGCACATTCCAAAAGTACGTTCTTACTACTTTTATTTAATAAAGGTTAACGTAAGCTCCGTTAAATTACTCGCTGTAATTAAGTATTTTCTCTCTCCACTAGCATCTCTTATTTTGAACAACAAAATCCCTCCAGAAAGATTGACCGTGCTATTATAATATTAATGAAGTGTTCAATGCTTTATAACATCTGCTCAACATGTCGGAACAGGTCGGATCAGTGACCCGAAAAAAATCCTCTGACTTTCAAGGTGGAATTCGATTTCAATCGAGTTTCACAAAAAACTTTCACAAAATAGCCATTATCTGTTTAGATGACAGTTTAAAGTATGGGATTATGGCGATTAAAACAAATGAAAGCTTCACACCTTTCTCCAACAGCGTGACTTTCAGAAAGCCTCGAGGGACAGACTTGGTAACCGCTTCTGAATTGATTACAGGCTTCTGTCGGTCAAAGTCAATTGTTATATTCCTAGACTTTCACTCAACTAAACAGGGACTGCCATTGGTTGATTCTTGGTCACGTGACCTTGACTAAAATCAAATGTATCCCAATCGTGATACATTAAACAATGTATCCCGCTCGGGATACATTGCAGCACGTGATCAAAGCATGGTGGAAAGTGGCGTGACAGAAGGCGGGAAAAACACCGCCAGGTCCAGCCAGTTTCTTTTTCGTGAAGGAACACAACAACACAAAAACGAAGCCTCAAGCTAAAAAGCAACGATTTTTAAAGTTATCCCAGAAGTTCCCAGAAGAAAAACAGCAGCTAGTGGAGGAAAAAGATGCAGATAATATGAGGAAAGTACTTTTGTTTCTAAATCATTCATTCAGTGGTTTTGAGAATTAAATTTGTGTTGTTATAAGCACCGAGTCGACTGTTTTGGTTCGCTCCGGTTATTCTTTTGTTGCTGTTGAAGTGAAAGTCTAGAAAAATAACAAAATACTTAATGTCAGGTCCCTCGGGAAACCAGTTAGTTTTGTTTTCCCTCGAGTCCTGATGTTTCCCTCGACTTCGTCTCGGGAAACATCAGGACTCTCGGGAAAACAAAACTAACTGTTTCCCTTGGGATCTGACATTAAGTGTATAATGTCCCGACCCCGTGGTCGCTTCACACGATCAAAAGCCCGACAAAGGGGATAGTCTCAGGCATCAAATCCCCGCCCCTTGCCAGCACTCCCCCCTCACGGGATTTACATTGATAGGTGCATAATGAAGCATCAAACCAATCAGACTTCATCATCT